AGGGCAATATTTATCCAACTTTGCACTGAGCCTGTATATTGAATGTGCTGCATTGAAAATTCTAGTCAATGTCCTATTCCAGACTACAGTCATCACAACAAATGTATATCCGTTTACCTTGACCTGATACACCTAAGTGTCAAGGTCCATTGACCTCTGACTGTCAAGGAGAAGCTTACTCTTGTGGTAGGACAAAAAAAAGAATAATAAAAGTTTCAGGCGTTACCACAGATCCAGTTTTTGCTCATCTTGGTACAGATTAGCCACCACCAAGTGGCTTTGTTGTAATCTGGCCTCAGCCATGAGGCTACTCAGAAACATGGCCTGATATATAAGATATTTTGTAGGGAATGCACATGTTACTGGTGAGTTCACTCTTGGGCAGAAGATAAGAAAACCTCAGTCATTGTGGCCATGAGCCAATAAGATCCTCCATTTCTTTTTTGCCCCTCAATAATATAAAGTTCTGTTTCCTCTGAATTACTAAGGCTAGTCTATACATCAATAGGAAAACCCTGCTTTTATCTATTTATATAAGCACCCCGGCAAAGGGTGGTGCTTTCCTTAAGGCTATTAACTTGGCTATTATTGTTTAGGCTTCCAGATTATGACCATATTTATGCTACCCTGCTTCAAGGTTGCACTAATACCAGGACTAGAATGTCTCTGAAGGAATTGTCTCATAGCCCATAAACTGAAGTGGAAATACACTCACATTATATCTTTACTGCAATAGAATTACAAATACGAAAGTCCCTGTTGAATTGTCAGTGGTTAAAAAACTCCATTGTTTAAGGTTTCACAATTTTCTTTTTTCTATACAAGACAGGCCTAGAAAAAGGAACTCATAATCCTTGACCTACTTAGATCAGGGGAATAAAGGGGATTGTGGCTTTTCTTTGTCTAACAGTAGTGGGGCTTAAGCGACAGCTCCTTCTTCAGCAACTCAGGTCTGCCAGGTGTCTCATGGAAGCCTGGATCTACTTAGCTCCTTCTCTCCAAATCTCCTGACTCGTAAATACAACTTCAGGGTTAGAAAAATTCAAAAGCTTAGCAGGAGAGTCTAGATATTAGGGAGAATGAAGTCAGAGACTTTTCCATTAGATGTTGTTGTAAAGAACCTGATGATGGTTTTCATTCAAGAAGTGGAGTTAAAGGTACCATTCAGGAAATGTGTAATTATAAAAGGAAGTAAAACAGTTAACTCACAAAAATAGGTTATAATACATAGGCAGCCTAAGTTCTCTATTGGCATTCACCGAGTATTAAAAGGAATACCTGGAGGGAACAAGGTGGCTTCTCTTTTAAGGCTTTATGGGAGGATAGAGCAATCATCAAACAGAAGGGAAGAGCGTGGCTGGCCTGTGATCGGCACCACTGGAAGAAATAATAATAATAATTGTTATTATTATTATTATTTGCGTAGCACTTCCTATGTGTTAGGCATTGTGTTAAGCACTTTACAATTATTATCTCATTTGATCCTGACAATAACTTGGGAGTTAGGTGCTATTTTTAATTCCCATTTTACAGATCAGAAAACTAAGGGAAATATGGATACATCCCCATTGCTGAGATGCCATATCTATTAAAGTGTTATTTTCTGACCACTCCTAATCCCATGAGATCTAGACAGCTGTGCACTTCTGGGATTGGAAACATCTTTAATCCTGCTTTGCATGTACTGTACTTGTTTGGTGGAAAAAGCAAACATTTTTGAGGTTTGTAGAGCACATACTCTAGAGTCTTGATTTTTATGGGGTTTAAATCCAGAGTCATCTCATATGCTCTTGTGACACATTTTGATAAAACCAGCAACCACTGGAATGTAATGAAAACAGTAAACAATTTCCCCAGGATAAACAACATTGATTTTCGGCAGCCAGAGTTAAAAACTCTACTGTTCCCATTGAGAACCAACATACACTGCATTTAATGGCAGGAAGGCTCAGTGGGCTGAGCAGTACAGAGCCCACCTATCTATAGGTAATATTATACACCTGTTCATCCTGGTTTTAAGAAACATCTCATTGGGGAACTAAGATGTGTTAACACACACTTGAATGAAGAGAGATACAAAATCCTTTATAACTCAGTTCTAAATTGTGTTCCAGGCCCTGCAGGCTGTGAAAGGAAGATATGTTTTGGTTTATTTGTTTTTGGTTTTGGTCCCCTCTGTGATTTCACTCATTTACAGAATGAAATCACTCCATTAGATTGTAAACTCATTGAAGGCAGGGTCTGTCTTTTTCCCCTTTTTGTAGCCCCAGTGTTTGGCATTGTGTCTGGAACATATCAGATACTTACTAAATGTTGATTGATTGATTAATATAGATTGATTGATTTAGGAAGCTCCCAGTGAGTAAACCCTGTCTACCAACAGAGGACTATATTTATTACAATATTTATAGTCTAAGCAAATTAACAGGAGCACGGAGAATGTAAGTTCCATGAAGATAGAAATGACTTCATTTTTACCTCTGTAGCTTCAATGCTTTCACAGAATAGCTGTGACTCGATAAGCACCCTCTGATTCTTTGTTGGTTGTTTGTTTTCCTTTGTTCTTGAAGAGGACCAAAATGACGTCACTATTTGAGAGTCGAGGCACAATGTATCTGGCTCTAACTAATCAGACCAATATAGCTCAGAAGGCTCCGCCATAGGTCAGGCACAAATACTCCACATGGACATTTGGAGTGGAGATTCATTGTAAAGTTGAACGATTTACCCAAGGTGGTAAAGGGAGGATTTGAACCTAAGTCTTCCCAACTCTGCCACCAACTCTCATGTCTATATTAAAGGGTTGTGTGTGTGTGTGTGTGTGTGTGTGTGTGTGTGTGTGTGTAGAATATATACTTATGGGGCAAGAAGGCATGCATGAAGGTGGAATAGTTAAAAGAAAAAGGGGAGAAAAGGGGAAAATTCACAATTCTGAATATTTCCTTTGCTTCCATGGTTCTGCCAATAAGAATAAGAGGAAACCAGGGAACATTAATAACAGTCTGATTGCCAGCTAATGCACTGTTCAGCAGGGTAAATTACAAGGTCAGATAGAAGTGCTATTGTCCTTTGTAGGAAACTATCCTCATTCACCACAAAGAAAGAGAGAGAATAAGGGCAGAAGGCTTTCACATCCTTCTGCATAAAAAAATGGGGAAAGAAGAAATCATCAAAGAAACTCATTCTGGACAGAAGCCACTTGCTAATAATCCTCAAGATGTTGCATGTGGGAAAAACACCTTCTTTACTTTTCTTTGGTCTAGCTCAAAGGCTACTCAAACTTTGTAATTACTCATACTATTCAGATTTGTTCAAGTATGATTTTTTTCCTCCCAGGGAAAGGATTGAATAGGCAAATAATACTCTGTCTGTGAGACCCTCAAATAGATGAACAGAAGCAATATGTTTGAATGGGTGGAGGATTCAAAGGATCAGGGTCTGTCAGAAGGTGCCTCAGATGGAAAAGACGCAGAAAATGAAACAAAATGTGTACTTAGCACAGCACATACGATTGAAATTTAGTTGGAAAAATGGTTAGGGATTTGTCCTGTGATTTGATTGGGATAGAGTATTTCAAGGTGAGGAAACATCCTCTTACCCAAGGAGGATGGCATCTTCTCTGAAATACTCTTAGCTGGGTAGAGCACAGAAGTCAAATATGTTGACCTGGGGAGTTGGAGCACAACACTCTAGAGTGATGCTTGAACCAGACTAAAAGTATGATTAGGAAATATTTAACAGAATAAATGAAAATACGATTGCTCAGTCGTTTTTGAGTCCTGTCTGACTCTTTGTGACCCTATTTGGTGTTTTCTTGGCAAAGATACTGGAGTGGTTTTTCATTTCCTTCTCCAGCTCATTTTACAGATGAGGAAACTGAGGCAAACAGGATTAGATGACTTGCCCAGGGTCACACAGCTAGTAAGTGTCTGAGGCTGTATTTGATCAGAGAGATGAGACTTTCTGACTGCAGGCCTAGCACACTGTACATTGCATCACCCCCAAATACAATAGAGAATAGATAATAATAACTGGATCATTATCTATAGTTTAATCCCCCTCCCCCCATTTCTATTTAAGTTTGAAACCACTGCCCTAAGAGCACTGAAAGATTAAAGTCTTCCAGGTTCAAGGCTAACTCTCCATCCATCATGCCGTGTTGCCCCTCTGAAAAAAGAAAATAAAAGAATCAACAAAGACATTAATAAATATGAATGAATGAATGAATAAATAAATAAATAAATCTTAGCTATGAACTGTTTTGTTGTTGTTTTTTTTTTAATTTTCTTTTCCTAGTGTGGAGGAAGAGGAAGAGGAGGCAAACACTTGTTATTTCATAATTGGGAGAAACACCTCTAGCAAGGCAGATTGAAAAGCTACTGTTACTTAAAAGCTTAGCAGGGGTGGGGAACCTCAAGCAGGGGTGGCTTGAGGCCACCTGTGGCCTTCTAGGTCCTCAAGTGCAGCCCTTTGACTGAATCCAAACTTCTGTAAAACTTGGACACCCTGAAAAGGCCACACCCAAGGACCTATAAAGCGGCACCGGGAGAATCTAAAAGGCCACATGTGGCCTGGAGGCTGCAAGTTCCCTTTCCCTCCCCCCCACCCCAGAGTTCCATAAGGTTCAGAGACATTAATTGACTTAAGGGAGATCACAAAGCTTTTCATTGTGATTTAAATACAGGACTTGAATACAGGACTCTTTCCATTGTCAGTTCCAGAGCTCTGCCCACCACACCTCCCTGCCTCTAAGAGTAAAGGCTGTGGCTTCAGAGGAACTGTGTTTGGAACCCATTGTGACATTGAATAGAATCAGCTCACCCCTTTCAGTCTCAGTTTCCATATCTGCAAAATAAAGGGGTCAGAGCAGATGACCTCTAAATTTCCTGTTAGCCTACCAGAAAAGACACAAGTGATTTTGTTTTTGTTTTTCTGTTTTAATATTGATTCTAGATTACATTTCAGATTAGTACAGATTCTACTGACACAATAATTACCTAATGCAGGTGAAGTTAGATGCTTCATTGGGGAGTGATGAAAAATTTGTCGGAATCCAGTCTCTGATTCCAAATCAGCCCCAATGCACTGGGGCGGGTGAGATTGTGAGGAGACTTCATGCCTGCTCTCTCTGTGTTAGACAGGGCTATGAAGAGCTGGAGAGGCAATTGAAAGAAGTCTTCAAGGAAAGAAGCAACATCCTCCGACAGCTGTCAAAGACTTCCAGGGAACTTGATGGAATTAAAGTCAACCTTCAGGTGAGATTAATATTCATATCCCCAGTGACTTCAGACCATTCACCGAATTAGCTGCTATTCATTCAGATAACAACATAGACAGATACTTTTTGTTTTGTTTTGCTTTGGTTTTGCAACCCCAGTGTCTAGACCGGTGCTCAGCACATAGTATGTTTTTACACATAGTAGGTCATTTAATAAACATTTGTGGAATCAAAGTTTTTTTGAACTTTAGGCCTCATTGAAAAAAGTCCCTGTCCTTGAATATAGCAAAATGTTGTTTATTAGGATATGAGGTTTGCAAGCAAATACCATTTGAATAGGCGGCTTGGGAATTTGCAGTTTGCAAATGGATAGAATGAGAAAATTTTGTGTTTTGCAAAGCCATCAGTCCCTCACAGCTCCCAAGACAAATTTGACTCCACTGTTTTTCCTATTACAAAATAATGAAAAGCAATAATGAACAGCAGAGAAAATGAATACAGGAGTTATCTAAAAGAGAACATTTTAAATTCCCACTGGCCCAGGGTCTGAACATTTTCTGACAAACCCTGAATCAGGGAAAGGCTGAAAGAGGAGAATTACTCCTATGAAACCATCATTTGTATCTTCAGAGTATTTGAACAAGAATCCACTGAGGATTCTGATCAGAAGAAGACTTTGTCTTAACAGCTACAGGATTATAATGTACCATGCCTGTTGGTCTCAGAGGGGAGTATAGAGGAACATACCCCATGACCTCTCCTCTATCCTTTAAATCAAAAATGCAGTTTATACTTGAGAAGGGGCAAGAACAATGGGCTGTGGTTTCTTTCATTAAGTCTTTAAAAAAATGTCATAGGGAGAGTTGGGTCCAAGATGCTAGGCTATGATTTCCTCCAAAAAAATATTCCATTGTTGCCTAGGTGTTAGAGGGTATTTTTGTTTGTGGTTTTGGTTTGATCAAGAACTTAAAGTTGTGGGCATCTAGGTGGCACAGTGGATACAGCACGGACCCAAGAGTCAGGAGGACCTGAGTTCAAATGTGACCTCAGGCACATAACACTCACTAGCTGTGTGACTCTGGGCAACTCACTTAACCCCAACTGCCTCACCAAACAAACAAACAAACAAAAAAAAAAAAACACCTTAAAGCTGAAGGAAATTAAGATGTCTTTTAGTTCAATATCCTCTTTTTACAAATGAGGAAACAGATATCTTGAGCGAATTAAATAATTTACCCAAGTTTACATAGTGAATTCATAGCAACTGGGCTGGACCTTAGGACTTTAGATATTCTATCCAAAATTTGTTGGTTTGTTGATTTTCTTCTACTAGACCATTCTGTTTTATGAGAGGAAATATAATTCAATTCAGAGAATATTTATTAATTATTTCTTAATAGGTATGTTGGCACTCTGGATTAAAAATAATAAAAAGAAGAACAAAAATGGAAAAACCAATCCATGTGTTGCATAAACTACAACCTGCTTTTAATACCGTAGTAAAAATTAAAACATCAGACTAGCTATACAGAGACCAAGGCCTTGACAGAATGGAATTCACCATAGGGAATTTTGATTGGTTGGGGCAGGGAGGCATTAGAAGAATTGAAGAGTGGGGAAATGTTCCTGGAACAGAAGACTAGGTTGGGGCTGAGAGGAGTTGCATAGGATAATGGGAACACTAAAGGCAATTAGAGGGAAAATGAAAGTCCAGTGGAGTGTGGACAAAGGAACTCTGAAATGAAGATGGTCTTCCATAATATTGAATAATATAATTCACCATATCCTCTTATGGGGCAGGTAGGTGGCACAGTGGATAGAGTGAGGGGCCTGGAGTCAGGAAGACTCATCTTCTTGAGTTCAAATCTGACCTCAGACACTTACTAGTTGTATGACCCTGGGCAAATCTCTTAACCCTGTTTGCCACAGTTTCCTTATCTGTAAAATGAGCTAGAGAAGGATATGGCAAACCACTCCACTATCTTTTCCAAGAAAATCTCAAATGGGGGGGGGGAGCAGCTTGGTGGTGCAGTGGATAGAGCACCGGCCCTGAAGTCAGGAGGACCTGAGTTCAAATCCGGCCTCAGACCAAACACTTGACACGTACTAGCTGTGTGACCTTGGGCAAGTCACTTAACCCCAATTGCCTTACCAAAAAAAAAAAAATCTCATATGGGGTCAAGAAGAGTTGAACATGACTGAAACAACTAGACAGCAATAACATATCTTCCTTGTCACAGAAAAGAATTGATCTGGCCCAAGACTTAGCCTAGGTAGAGGCTGTCATTATGAACATCAATTGTTGTATTGTGCTGTAGTTTAAAGATGAAAGGGATTGGCTTAACTTACCTCTAAGGTTACTTCTTAATTTAAAATATTAGCATCTATGATCCAGAATTCTCTTAGGAACCCATGAGATGCATTGAACTCTTTGCTTCATTCAGCCCCAACATGTTGTGATTTTTTAAAATTCTTTATCTGTTTTTATAGTTTTCTTTTTTCTTTTTCTTCTTTTTTTTTTTAAATCTCTTTCCATCCTGAAAGGAGTTTAGCTATCACTTCTCCCCTTAGGCAGTGTGCCTGCCATCAACAAGTCTTGTCTTACCAACTTTGAATATATTGCTTCTCCTCCTTAGAGAGATGGAAGTTCATAGGATCAATGATGAAGAGGTGAAGGAGACATTAGCGACACTTAAATTAAAATGCCCCTCCCACCACACTTTATAGAAGAAGAAAGTAAATCTCATAGCTGTGAAGTGAATAAATGGATTGTTCAAGGTCAGGTAGTAAGTGCCAGAGCTGGGATTTAAATCGAGCTTCTCACCCTCCAATTCAGTGTCCTATTTAGTGCACTGTACTACTTCTAAGCTTGTTAGAATAATTTCAAAATTAAGAGTAAATGGGCTCAAAATGAAGATCTCTGGAGTTCTCCTTCAAGTTTATGTTTGGTGTATGGATTGTGCCCTATCTATGGTGACCTCCCATCGGTATTTTTATTCATTTCTTGGTGTTTGCTTGTGTTCTAGATGGATGAGTTTGCTGCTTCGAATCCTATTTACAAACAGATGGAATATAAATCATAAATTCAAAAGAAGCTTAACAAAGTAGTTGAATGTGATGGATAAGTGACTTTGTTGGAACTCCAGATAACTGGGGACAGCCTGCACTTGTCTTTGCAGTATTAAAATATTTTTTTTTTTCCTGCATTACACAGTCCTCTTTATGGAGTATGGGTTCTTAGGGTTTTACATTCCTTGATTCATTGAGATGAATAATGATCTTAGGGGGCCAGCATTCTCTTGTTCCTTGGCTCCTTCAATTTCAGGACACTGGTTTTCTAGGACACTGCTTATATTCCTTCCCTTCCTTGCCCTCTCCCCTCTTGCGAGGCAAACAGGTTACATATGCTGAGCATTGTGAACAAAGTGACAGCCTAGAAACAGAAGAAAGGGATGGTACTTTGTATTCTTTATATGGAGATACCTAAAGTTTTGGGCAGTGCCCTCTTTTTCCATTGATCCTATAAAGATTAGCTCTTTTATTTGCTCCATTTGGGCACTCCAGTTTGGAACGCTTTCTCCTTACTTCATTGTTTTGTTGTTCAGTCATTTTTCAATCACATCCAATTCTTCATGATCCCACTGGGGGTTTTCTTTGCAAAGACACTGGAATGGTTTTCCATTTCCTTTTCCAGCTCATTTTACAGATGAGGAAACTGAGGCAAATAGTGGTAAGTGACTTGCCCAGGATCACACAGTTAGTAAGTTTCTGAGGCCACATTTGAACTTATGGAGATGAGTGTTCCTGACTATAGGCCCACCACTCTATCTACCACATCACCTAGCTGTCCCTGAGCTACCTAGTTGCTTGTTTCTTTGATATACCCTCAAAGCACTTCAAAGATAGCATGATTTCATTAGAATCCTTCATTGGAATCCCATGCTATTTATTGAGTGTTCCTTTCTATCAGTGGCAAAATTTGGTGTTCTGTGGAAAGAGAAATCAAAGGAGTCTCCTATCATCATTTCATAGCCAAGTAACACTGATAAGATCTTTCCCCACCCTTTTCTTTGCTTTTTCCCACCAGTCTTTGAAAAACGATGAAGCATCAGCCAAGAGTGATGTTCAGAAACTTCTGGAATTAGGCAAAAAACAAAGGTAAGACTCCCCACCCCCCCCTTATTTTGTTTTGTTTTGTTTTCCTCTTTTGGTCATTCTCTTCTAACAGCCCAACTCTGAAACTGTGACAATTCATTGTGCTAAGGTTTGAGTTGGCTAGGTAAAAAGAGGTCATTATGTAGAGACTCTATCTAAACAGTGACAGTCGGGGATGGAAGAAGCTATTTTGTTTCAGCTACACTTGAAGTGTTAGCTGATAGATACCATCCTTCATTTAGCAGCTAGAACTTGGCAAGATTAACTAGAGATAAGCATTTAGGTTGTACAGAGTCTATTAAAGTTATTGAATGTGGTTCAGCCCCATCAATTAATACATTTTAAAAGCAATTCCATAGCATTTTAGTTAAAGAGACCCTGATAAATGGCTACACTAAGAGGTGAACATGACAATGGGTTTCTCAAAGCACACTGCACTTAATCATACTTCAAATTATCCATTGTGAGGAGAACTTGTTGTTACAGGCAACATCTCTGGAGTGAACAGTCTGTGGTAGAATTTTGGTGGGTTCCTCCCCCCCACTATTACGTTGTTTAATACCTTAAACTTGTGACCAGAGGTTAGATGTGAAATCTTTTCAACAGGGCTTGGAGAATAGAAGGCCATATCTCGAGTCATCCAAACTAGACACTCTTAGAATGCTTAATAGCAAATTCATGATTGAGAAGGGAAAAGGTATTAATTTATCTCATCCTAACTATGCAACATCAGCCACATCTAGGACAGACTGAGACTTTGCACCAAGGTACCAAGATGGAGAAAGCACCTACAGCACTTAGAATTTTTCAGTCACAGAAACGAGCTCAATACCTTGTTCACAAGAGCAGTTCATTAAAATTCAAAGCTTTCCAATGGAAGCTTCCCATTCCTATTCACTGCATCCCAATTGAGCTCTGTCCTGTTCTGGCTTTGTGATGGACTCTGTGCAGTATCTTTCCATGCTAGTTGTTACCCTGGAATCCAGAATTGGCCTCATGGTCTCCTACCATCCAGGCTGACTTACTGTCCTGATATCTCTGTCTCAGTCAACGAAGCTGGATTGATGTAAGTCCCTAATCTGTGCTATATGTTGTATTGGGTGCTGGGGATAAAAAGATTTTTTTAAAAAATTAAACACTTTCTTAAAGTGCTTATATTTTTACTAAGGGTACATTGTAGACATGACATATATGCAGTATATATCATTATATGCACTATTTCATTATATATGCAATCAATTTGTAGTATATTATTATATACATATATATCCAATATATTATTATATACATGTGTCACATACTATACATATTATAGATGATTATATACATGTTATTTACATACATATATACAGATTATATATACATAGATAGATACATACCTACATATGTTTATTCAAAATAAACACAAGGTAATTAGGGAAGAAGGGCCCAGAAGCTGTGAGATTTGGGGAAGTTGAAGGGCAAGGGATTATTCTTCGAGTAGGGTCTTGTCTATAAATTTCTGGGGTCTCTTAACAAGTCCCAACTACTGACTACTTACCGAAGGTATTAAAATTGCTAGCTGTAGCTCTAACCATTTGATCAGAATTATCCATAATATCCTTGCTATTTGTCCACTGTTAATTAACATAATGTTTTTACAGGAGTTTAAGTGATCACAACCAAGATGAAAATTTATTTCTGATTTATTGTTTGACCCATTCATTTTTTAGGATTAGATTATTTCATTTCCAATTATTTTTAGTCTATCTTTCCATGGCCCTTTATTACATATAAATTTTATTGTATCATGATCTGAAAAGGAAGCATTCAATATTTCTGCCTTTCTTCATTGGATTGTGAGATTTTTATGCCCTAGTACATGGTCGATTTTTGTGTATGTGCCATGTATCACCAAGAAAAATGTATATAAGATGAAAATTTGTATATGCATGTTGAGGCCAGTGAGGAACTTGGGCTACCTCTAGAAGGAGCTAGGATTAGCCAATTCAGAATTTAAACTCACTTTTGGATGCTACCATCATCAGGCAAAACCCCCTTCTTCCTTTTGCTTATACACAGTGCTCTTTAATTTACAGCAGTCCTTCACCATTTCATTACTAGAGTCACAGTAGATAAAAAGCTGGCTTTGAAGTCAGAAAGAACCATATGTGTTTAAGTCCCCCATCTGAAACCTCCTCCCTAAGGCATCACTCAGCCTCTCAGTCCCCCAGGCAGTTTTCTCTGACTCTCAGTTACAGAGCAGGTGCTTGTCTGCATAGATAAATGTGGTTTCCCAATCAGGCTTAACCTATACTGATGAAAAACTAACCAAAATTCCGGTTGATGAACTTGATCAAAATGTGTTTTGAGTGCATTACAAGAAATCTGACTTAGTCCCATCCCCTCTATACATACCATCACCCCTCCCATCCATCCATCCATCCATCCATCCATCCATCCATCCATCCATCCATCCATCTATCCATCTATCCATTCATCCATAATGCCATATTTTGGACACTACCTCTTCTTCTCCCTCTTTAAATATACCTTCCCATCCAGTGGGTTCCCAGTGTTCTAGATCAGGACTTCTTAAACTTTTTCTACTTAAGACCCTTTTAGCACTTCTTAAACTATGGGTCATAACCCCATATGGGATCCAGATCAAGCTAGGACTAGAATATTGACTTCAGCAGAAGACAGCTAATCCAGCATGAAAGACCTGAGCAACTGTGTGCTGGTAAATTTTAACAATCAACTCTCAAAAAAATTTTCCAAATGATCTAATTTTCAGTTTCATCTGCATTATTATTTTCTCCATCACTTTATTAAATCAGGGGAAACAGTGAAGTAAGCCCTGATTTGTAGCTTTGGACCATTTCCTGAGTGTAAGTATTCACATTGAAAATTTAACAACTGGCTCTCAGGATTATATATATATGATTGGCTCCATCACACTCTAATCCCAAGCACCTTGGGGCATAGGAAGGAAAAACTCCACAGAAGTGGGTTTGATATAAGGTCCTTAATAGAAGAAAAGGGATGCAGAAGATCAGCCCCCAATCTTACAGTTCAACCAAGGGAGGCCCTGTTGCCTCTAATTGTAATGACAGCAGGGAGTGTAATCTACCTTTGCTATAATCTCTTTTATAGGTTCTGTAGACATCCTGTTCCTTGGGCTTATTTCCAGGAGCTGTAATGAGCAGGAGCACATGGGGTTTGGCTGGGAAACTATTAAGAGGGCATTTTCTCTACTATTTGAAAAGTAACCAAAACAAAATAAAAAAGCAATAAATGTAACATGTATTAACATGAATGAGTCTGGTGGGAATTTGGTAAATTGTTTATGCTTGTTTTCTTCTCCCAAGTCACTAAGTAACAACTTATCTTGTTGACAACTCAATTGTGAGAAAACATCACTTAAAGTACTATTTCCCAGGAGATGTAAGAAATAAAAAAAAAAAGATGAAATAAAACACATATTTCAAAAATTCTGAATGATACAGTATTTCTAAGGAATAAGTTTTCTACTGATGTCCTAGAAGTTTTCATTTAGTTCAGTAAAACCAGCATTTTCTCTATAGTCAAAAGACCTGGCTCTAAGGCTTACTATATATGCAACTTTGGATAATTCATTTAACTTCTCTTAGCCTCAGTTTCCTCATCTGTAAAATGAAGGGGTTGGACTAGAAGGCTTCTGAGACCCCTTTCAGCTTAGATCTATGGTCATGGAAATCAGTACTGGAGTTAATAAAATGATTGTGAATTGCCTACTGATTCAGTAAAAGCACTAGTAATTCAAATTTTAGACAGTCATAGATGAAATTGAACTGATGAGGTACCACAAGTTGATTGTCATAAATATTTTTTTTTTGCTTTTTGCTAGGCAATTGGGGTTAAGTGACTTGCCCAGGGTCACACAGCTAGTACATGTTATGTGTTTGAGACTGGATTTGAGCTCAGGTCCTCCTGACTTCAAGGCTGGAGCTCATTTCACTGTGCCACCTAGCTGCCCCGATTGTCACAAATATTTAACAGGTATATAGAGGTTCAAAGCCAGAACATTCTTGTTAGGTGTTCTACCAAAAGAGTAATTGATTTTTATCATCACCATTACCATCATCATCATCACCATTTGCATTTCTATAATTTGCATAATTCTTTTAATCTTTTAGAAAAGACTTTCCTTAGTAACCTTGTGCTAGAGAGAGTACAAATATTCTTTTCATTTTGTTTACTTTTTTATTTTAATTTTTTTGCCTTTTGGTGAGGCAGTCGGGATTAAGTGTCTTGCCCAAGGACACACAGCTAGTAAGTGTCAAGTGTCTGAGGCTGGATTTGAACTCAGGTCCTCCTGACTCCAAGGCTGGAGCTCTATCCACTGCGCCACCTAGCTGTCCCTATTCTTTTCATTTTGAAGATGAGGAAACAGAAAACCAAAGCTGTTAAATGACTAATCCAAGGTCACCCAGCTCATTAGTGTCCAAGACATTTTACCCACTCCATAATTTACTGTTTTATTGTTCACTGCTCCTAATCATAAGTACAGAAATGATTGCCACCATCAAGTATAATAGAAACTCACAATTCTTTGACCCTGTAAGACTGACAATGAACTTTCTCTACATTGGTGGGGGGAGGCTATAAGCATTTATATAGTACCTACTATGTGCCCTGTAAGGTCAGTAGCATAGGTGTTACCACCCCCATTTTACAGATGAGAAAACTGAAATTTGTTCCTGATGACATGCTAAGAGTCAGACAGAGGATTTTAATCCAGGTGGGCTCCTGGTTTTAACTTTAGCTTTCTTCCTACCACATGTGACGCCACACTTCAACAGTAATTCAGTTTTTTTAACCAAATCAATCCCACTTAACTGACTTTTATTAAATACCTTATGAGAGCCAGCTATGGTATAAGGAAGTAGAAATATAAATATTAAAATAAAACAATCCCTACTCTCAAGCTTGTATTCTATTGCAGTAAGAGCAAAAGGTCGACACTATTTTAGGTTCATTTGAGTCAAGTAATTGAGAAGTATGTTAGAACAGCCCCATTCAGAGTGGGAAGGTACCATCTAAAGACTTTGATATTCATATCTGCCAGGCTGGAAAATTCTGGGAGTTTGATTCACTCCTATCCAATGCTGGGGACCTGAGGAGATATACCTAAGGATACAGCTTTCCTTTCGACAGGACACAAATCATAACCAGTGAGCAGGAAACATTTATTTGTTGGAAGTGGGATGGACATATTGGTGAGGTGGAAAGAGTAGCTGCCTCCATCTCCTCAGGGTGAGGTGAAGGAATATAGGCTGAAGGGAACCACCAGAACCCTAGTCACACATATAATGCTTCCTGAACAATTGCTTAGCCCCTATGTGTGTCTCTTAAGTTTGAAAATCACTTGATACGTATATTAACTCCTTTTGATTACTAGAATACCAGAATGGTTTGTGGAACTAGCATTGAGAGAAATTTCTGGTTTCTCATCTTCATTCTATTGACTAGGTTTATTACTTTGACCAAATCCCTCTCCCTCTCTGACCCTCATTTTTCTCACCTGTAAAGTGAGGCAGTTAGAAAAGAACTCTCAGGTGTCTCTGAGTGAGAAACTTCTATGTTTGAGCTCTTTTGGTGGCTAATAGAAGTGTATATGAGAGGGGCAGAGTCTAGAAAAATTACTTCCACAATAATTTTACAATTTGTACACTGACAATTAGATCTGGATCTTATACATATGGCTTAGGTGATTAAATAGGAAACCAAGAAGAATTAAACAGTCTAGGGAAAAAAAAAGCATAATTAAAAATCATTTCTTTTTAAAATGTCATGTGACAGATGGATAAGTTCAAGAAGGGGCACTGACATTTTTGAGAATCTTTGCATTTCAAGTAGTTGAAGAGGGGTTCATGTTAAGTATTATTCATGAAGAGAGAGAGAGAGAGAGAGAGAGAAACGTGTTTTTTTTTCCTTTTTATATGAAAACAATGAGGCTATCCATTAGTCCTAAACGCGACTTTCCACTGAAACACACTTCAGAAAAGTTCAGACCTCTGAAGCATCATGGATAGCATGATGACATGAAACAAGGGGAAGCCATCATTTAGGAGGAACCGAAGGAAGCTGGAAATTTGCACACTCAGCAAACCTGGAGTAACTTTCTATAACTGGCGGGTTCCCACCCTTCCATATTTTTTTTAGTGGAATTAGCTTGTTGGTTTGTATTATTACATTAATTTGATATGCTACCCATTATGCAGCTCACAGATGTTTTACACAGTGGGATCCTTTGCTAGATATAATGGCAAGGCAATTTCTTTTAAATTCAATTTACTTTTTGCATTTGCATCCAAAGACAAAAACCTTTATTAAGGGGACCCTTAGATAGATGCTGACTGCTTCAGGTTGTCCCTACTCAGTTCAAGTTGTCTATTTTCTAAACACAAGTAAACAAACAAACAACCTCTTTCCTCATGGGCAGAAGGGACTGAAGAAATTGTATTATGTCTTTTTTTTTTCTTGTACTAAACTAGGGAAGAAATGAAGTCTCTCCAGGAGGCCTTTCAAAAGCAACTTAATGAGGCAGCTGAGAAAGCAGAAAAGCAGCAGGCTACAGTGAGTGTGTTTCTTGTTTTCTCCCTGTTCTTGAGGGCTGGGAAATAGTAATTCATTAAAAAGTTGCTATGGAACCTCTGTAAACTGACTTACCATAGAGTCATTCCAGTGTATCTTACCAGGAACAGCCATGATTAGGCCCTACTGCATTATAAATGCTGCTGCTATTACTAATCATCATCTACTACTACTACTACTACTACTACTACTACTACTACTACTACCTCTAGTACCACTACTACTATTACTACTACTATGACTATTACTACTACTTCTACTATTACTACTACTTCTACTATTACTACTACTACTAGCGCCCCCACCACTACCATCACCAGCCCTACTACCACTATCCCTACTGCCACCCTTACCACTACCATTACCCCTACTATGACTACTATTGCTACTAATACTACTACTGCTGCTACTAATGCTAGTACTACTGCCATACCACCATTTAAACTGAGACCCAGTGCTTATTTCTCTTATGGAGAGTTGGATGGGGTAGGACTCTAGCACCTTTCATGGTTTACTTCAAGTGTTATCTTCTATGTTCTTTCCTAATTCCCCTAGATTTTAATGCTCATTCCCTCCTCTTCAATGTATTATGTATATAATTACATATTTAAATATTATATACTTTCTATAGAAAGTTAGCTCCATGAGGGAAGGGCTGGTTTCTTATTTTGTTTTTGTATCTCCAGAACTTGTTAGAGTGTTTTCATAGATACTAAATAATTGCTTAGATTGGGTTGAGTTGGACTTTAAATTCCCAAGAATTTATTTCAGTTAAGACGTTCACTTTTGATCTCTGAACCTTGGGAGTTAATATATTAATTCTAGAATAGATGGTGTGTTTGTTTGTTTGTTTTTTTTAATGATTTCATGGGTTTTTGGTTTTTTTTTTGTTTTTTTTTGTTTTTTTGCATCACAGTAATTCCCCACTGTATCCCCCCACCTCCAATGAACCCTACCTTGTTACAAAGAATACCATTCAGGCAGAACAAGTAAATGAAATCCCTTCATCTGAAAACATTGTGCAATAATTTGTCAGCCCAGTCCCTCACTTGAGCGCTAAAATGAAGTCTTTGATTAATTGTTTTCTTGGATAAGGTCATTACGGATTATCTGAGTTTGGCTGCTTTGTAGCATTTTAATTTGTGGGGTTTTACACATTATATACATTATTCTCATGATTCTGCTTTCTTTTTTCTGTATCAATTGACATAAATCTTTTCATGTTTGATTTCCTCATAGCGTTCATATCTTAAGGGTCGTTAATAATCTATTACATACATATGCTATAATTTGTTCAAACATTCTCCAGTTGATAAGGACTCATTTTGATTACATTTATTTGCTGTGAAATTGTTATTATTCTAAGAGTATGACTATCCTCTTGGGGAGAAATTTGAAATCTATGTTGGGAGCTCAGGATATAATGTCTCATTACCATTTAGTTGCATCATTTAAAAAAAAAACAACAAAACTTGTACCTGTGATTCTATTGGTTTGAGGATCTCCCGTGTGAATATTGCTTTCACCAATACAGATTGCAATGCATCTAAAATGTAGATTCGTTAAGAGTTTCCTGGTTCACTAGAAGTTTAAATGATTCACTTATGGCCACACAGTATGGTACGGTGGCAAGATGTGAGCCCACATCTTTATGTCTCCAAAGAAAATCCTTTAATTGGCTATGCTATCTCTTAGCTACAATTTCATGTGATAAAATCAGCAGGAGGACTACATGGCAAGACCAGACCAGAACTAAATATCTTTTTATCTCCCTTTCCCTGATGGGTGAGGGGTCAGTATTAGAACATCTGAATAACCAGTACATCACCCTTTATTTCTCAACCTTCCAATGAATAGAGATCACCATAGTCATGCTTATAGATGAAAATATGTTTTGCTACTTGTGGGTGGCAAGGATACAGGTACTCCTTGGCCTTTCGTTCTCAGGATTCAAGTTCCCTACCATTATCTGAATGGAAGACTGTTGCTTTCCAAATCATTGTGTTGGATGGCTCTGACATCTACAGCTGAAAGTGGACCTTTAATCACTTCTATGTATCCCCATTTAAGCATGATCTCCAGAAAGCCCTAAAAGTGTCATCGGATTTTATAAAGTTTGGCATTAAGGCAAAATACTACAAACATGTTACACTTTTTCCAGGCACATAGAGAATTCCATTAAGTTTGAGACCCCTCCCAAAAAAGGAACCTGAGAATCATGCAAAAGGGAATGGAGAGGAGCATGGTGAATGTGAGCAAGCAGGCAGTAATATGTTATAAATGAGGAATTGTGATGGAGGACTGGGGAAGTATGTACAACACCTCATCAAAGAAATGAAATACTAGGAAGAAGAAGGACAAAGGAGTCCCATGGCAGAGGTAGGCCCAACTACATGATGGATAGGCCGCATGTGACAACGGCATTCATACAATGTGAAGAGAATGTCAGGAAGGCTCCCGGAATAAAATATATACCCTGCAGCAAATTTAGGGAAGGGTATATATGGAGAAGAGGCACAAATTATAGACCAGCCTGAATGAGCAGTAATCTAAATCACAGGAGAGAATACCCTAGTCAGTAAGATTACAAATCCATTGGAATCTATGTCATAGAATACTGGCTCTGTTAAAACTTTAATTCACTTAGACATACGTTAAAAAGGTCTCCCTAATTTCCCACTTTGTTATCAGGAAAGGATTCAAGCAGAGAGAGCTTAGGATTATGATTTTTATCTATCTGTCTGTCTATCTATCCATCTGTCTGTCTATCTACCTATCTATCTGTCCATCCGTTCATCTCTCTAAATATTTACTCACTTATTTAGGATTTTGTAAACATAAGAGAGACATTGTTTACAAAAAAGGGGGGGAACGGAAAGAGGCAGCTTTGATATCCCTTCCCATGCCTAATGATTCCTCTCTTAGTTTGCTTTAATATACCATGTCTTCATGTATTTTCTTCCTAGACTGCTAATTGTTAGAAAAGGGTAGAGCAGAGAAGGCCCTCTCTTCTGAGGCTGGCAGCTGCTTTTGGAGAGGCAGCCTGCTGACCTAGTTGAGCTCATCAAATGAGGGACATCGTGGAAACCCACAGGGGAACATTCTCGAGATTCAGGCTTCCAGTAGACTGGTCTCCTGGGACCCTGGGAAAGAACATGATTTTTGAGAAAAGAAGGCTTTCTCAGCAAACTCTCTCTTCAATACCACTCCATCTCTACCCCAGATACCTAGTATTTCACAATTATAACTTTATTATTATTTTTTATCCTTAGAGAAGCCTTTTAGTATTTGAGTTCCATATTGATCTGCAAGGGAACTGCTAGGTAGAGCACTGGGCTTGCAGTCAGGAAGATCTGAGTTCAGATTTGGCCTCAGATATTTACTAAATGTGTCACCCTGGGCAAGTCACTTAACCTTTAATTGTTTCAGTTCCTCATCAATAAAAATGGGGACACACTGGAGGAGGAAATGGCAAACAACTCTAGTATCATTGCGAAGGAAAAAACCCCATGGACTTGGGTCCATGGGGGTCACATAGATTTGGAAACAACTGAACAACAATTCACTTGCAAATACCTCTCTTGCCATTAACTTGGACAAAGGAAAGATTACCATATTTGGTATCAGGCTTAAATCCAAGCTGTGCTCTTTACTAACTTTATGGCCATGACCAAATTACTGCATATCTAGCTGGAATAATGGATAGAGCATTGAACTCAGGGTCAGAAAGACCTGATTCAAATTCTGCCTTATTCACTTGTTAGCTCTGTTACCTTGAGCAAGTCATTAACTTCTCTGGGCCTCAATTTCCTTGGTTCTGAGGTGAGGTAATCTGAGTTGATTACCTCTAAGGTCCTTTAAGTTCTAAATCCTTGATCTACTGTTTTGTTTTTTTTTTTCCATTTTTAAAACAGGCATCAAGATACCTGAAATAACTACTCTAGAGGCTTTTAAGTAGGGGAGTCAGTTAACCATTGGGGGCCTTTTTTTTTTCTACATCTCTAAAATTAAGTAACAAGATTAAATATCCGTTTCAACTCTAAAGCAATGATCCTATTATATGTGTATGTATGTATATATATATTTGAGGAAGGAGGAAATTTTAATTCAAACCATTTTATTGACTTATTCTTTTCCAGGGTTTTTTTTTCTTTTCTTTCTTCCTTCACTCTTTCTTTTTTTTTGTTTTTTTTTTGAGAGACTAGCCAAATAAGGTGTAATCTAATCTTTAATTTCCAATACATTCAACACAAAAGACCTTCCTAATTGAGCAATTTGTGGACACATAGCGCATTAAAAGCAAACCCAGCATGGTTGTACTATTCCTGTAGAGCTCAGCATAATAATGCAATCACGTCCCACATTACTCCATATTAGTTGATTGGCAACTAATCCCTGGAATGATATGTAGTAAACAAAGAGCACCTGCATATGAAGTGATGATTGCCCATATTAGCCTATTTTTATATCTATGAATTTAAAGCAATTAAGGAAATCAAATTATATTTTAAAAATCCACTCTAGTTTGACTTTCTAGGATAAGGCTAGGTTTGGTCCCAAAAGAATACTAATTATAAAAGCGACTAGCATTTGTTCTTCTTATTGGAAAAATGAGCAAAAGAAGATGTTGTTTTATAAGTAAAATCTACCATAGAAGCTACCACATGTATGTTTTTAAGAAGCATAAATTATGTTTTATTTGAATTTATCATTGGAGTCTTAGGACCCTAAGAAGTAATTACATCTCATTGATCCTTAAGAATCTATTGAAAAGCACAGAGCATTTAATTGATGTCATGAGATGGGGGTTTAGTCTGGATTCTCCAATTTCAGTTTCCACATTTATAAAATTAGGAGTTGGGTTAACTGTCCTTTTCAATTCTAAATCAACGATCCCATAATAAATGTGGGATCCTTCCTTCCCTCCCTCCCTCCCTCCCTCCCTCCTTCCTTCCTTCCTTCCTTCCTTCCTTTCTTCCTTC